AATCGAGATCGAAATAAAAAAAAGCAACTTCTGATACAATGAGTTTAAAATTAAATAGTAACAAAATGTTTTATTCTTATAATTATACATGAGATCAAATCAAAAAGTTATCAGGCAATTAGTAAGGTTCTTGAAATTAACGTATTATTATTAGCTTAATAATTTCCCAATATTATCAATGCCCGTTTAGACGGGAATTTCTAACAGACGTAGACGGCCGTAACGTATATTGTCGACTTTTCAACAAAAACGCAGACCAATTAGTTATTTTGCTCACCATTTTTAGGGTTTCGTAGCCAAATGGCAAAAAAACGATATTCATACAAAAATAGAAAAAAAAACTTATGGACTTAGAATTTTTTTTAATCAAATCTTTACGTGTGGGGTATGGATAGGTCTATAAAATTGATAGGTCTATAAATTTAATATGGGACCCATTTCCACTAAATGTTGTTAGGATTCATAATGCAATAAGGTCGATATTTTACTTTGATAGTGTTTTGATGACATAATGTCATAACGAATCGACCCTTGAAATGATAACCTCTTTACAAAATACTATTTCGTGTCAGTGTCAGTGAAGAAAACAGTTTAATGTGACATTTTTACAAAGTATAATTCGGAAACGGAACATAACATAACATCGGAAATGATCTTTTGCTGTCGCTTCAGATGACGTAATTGCATGGTTGCCCCTAGAAACGTAAAGTTGTCAATGGTAAACATTATGACATTGACTTTGCATTAAAATATTAGCTTTATATAGCTTGCAGCAGATTGCTACACGATATTCAAAGGTGGGGCCCAGATTAAAGCTCGTGTCTGTACATTACCTTGCAAACTTCTAGCAAAAGTTGATTTGAACGAGGCCAAGTAATTTGTTTTTTAAATACGTCATATTATTTACAAATAATATGACGAATTTAAAAAAAAACAACCGCAATTTACATTTAATTCAATATAAAAATATTTATTTAGATAATGGTACGGAGCGAGTCCGAGTCGCACTTGACTGGTTTTTAAATATGCATACTATTCAAATATACTGCTTATAGACATGTTTTCTCCTGCTAACCAATCTACAGTACAGACATGGATTATGAAATCTTGCAGATCCATGTTATTGTAAGCTGCCTTTTTATGATTTCATTTTTGACCATCATCATTTGCATGCCCTTTTCCCAATTCTATTTGTGGTTGGCGCAACATGTCTTCCGCTTCCATTCTCCTCTATCACTCGCAATATCAACACTCACTCCCTTACTGGCCATGTCCTCATTCACACAATCTACCCATCTTTTCTTCGGTCTTCCTCTCCCCGGGTAACCCTCCACTCTCATTATACAGGTTGGCTTATTGAAATGGGTCAGGATGGGAAAGTCTGAAACTATAATATATATGAAGATCTGTTCTTAGGAACAAGATTTTAATAAAAATAAAAACTGCATTCATACATTTAAGAAAAACCCTATGATCAGCACGGAAATCAAACCCGGTCGTTTTGAAAAAAAAAACACACTATTTCTATTTAAATATCGATTATGTAGGTCTGAAGCAGTAAATGTTTCTATTAAACGTGATGTCTAAAATGAGTAAAACGCATTTTTGTCACATAATTTAAATTATTTCAGTAGAGGTTCTAAGTGACCACCGTTTTTTTAATACAAAATTTAACACGTATAGGTAACTTATCTTACTAATAAATAGAAATAGGAAATAGTGTTAGTTTTTTTTTCAAAACGACCGGGTTTGATTCCCGAGCTGACCACAGGGTTTTTCTTAAATGTATGAATGCAGTTTTAATTTTTATTAAAATCGATGACAAAGTTCCTAAGAACAGATCTTCGTTTAAATTATAGTTCAGACTTTCCCATACTGACCCATTTAAATGAGCCATCTTGTATACTCTCATATTAAATTTTTGACCATTATATAATTATTTGCCGAACAAAGATTGCTGCCTGATTTTTTAAATTGCTTACAAAATCTTTTTGTGCCGACCAAATTATTTAAAGGCTGACCAATTATATACTTCTCATGAAACATTAGTATTTTGTGTAACCTCCTTCTGCATTTAATACGTCTTGTAAACGTTTCCTCATGGAACCAACTACCTTCTCACAAAAACCTCGACCTCTGAACGATTCCCAAACATCATTTGCATGTCGCCTTAAGGCTTCTGTTGTTCGACATTGATTCCCATCCCACTCTTGCACCAATTTACCCCAAAGGTTTTCGATGGGATTGAGGTCTGGACTTTTTGGTGGTAGTTTGATTAAAGTTAGTTCTCTCTGTTCATTAATCCATGTCAGTACTGTACGAGCATTATGTACTGAGCTGTTGTCTTGAAGGAATGTAATTTGTTGTTCTGGATAAAAAACTTGAGCTGTAGGAAGAAAAGTATCTTCCAGAAGTTCCTTATAATTCATTGCATTCATTCGTCCACTTATTTCCACAAGCTCACCAGGACCATCTTTGCACATCCCTCCCCAAAATCCAATTGAAATACGTCCACTCCGGCGATTAAGCAGCACATTTTGTTCTAAGTAACGTGTGTTTTCGGGTCGCCATGAGCAGAAATCTTTTCGTCCATGAAAATAACGTTTTGAAAATTAAAATTTAAATAATTAGCTGCAAATTGTAGCCGCTGCATTTTGTGCCTTGGCGTGAGAGTTGGTTTTCTTGCCGGTACTCTATTTTTTAAACCTCCTTCTTTTAATCGTCTTCTAATGGTGCTAGTGGATATTTCGAATGTGCTTGAAATTTGTGTAGTGTTTATAAATCTGTCATTTTTGGCTTTATCTATAATAGCTATGTCTTGGTTATTTGTAGTAATACGCGGGCGACCAAATGAAACATGATTATTTAATGTTTCTCCTTGCTGCCATCTTTCTAGCCATAAATATACAGTATTTCTCTGAAATAAATACAATTTTATACTTTGTGAATAAAGTTTCATGTTTTGTGGGCAATTGATTTTTAGCATTTTTCTCCGTGATACTTACGGCTATCCCTAGCTCATCGGCGATATCTTTTACGGATAAACCATAATTTTTTAGTTGTATTATTTTATGTTTCATTTCCGCATCAATACGGTACGAACTCATATTAATTATAGTTAATTTATGGTATGAACTAATACGTAAGCAAGCTGCTTGAATTTATTTGTGCATGACACATGACAGAGGTGATAAGAATAAAAACTGGAAAGTGCTTAACTGCCAGCGTCATCTTATTATAAATAAATAATTAAGAGGTCCTATTAAAATTGTTCAGATATTTTTGAAAAGTTGTATGTTCAGATATTATTGACAGGCATCTGCTCAGATATTATTGAAGTAATGAATGATCAGATATTTATGGTCACTTGTAGTGTATAGAACTTATTGACATTTTAACTGTTCAGATGTATTTGGTCATCTTGTATGCTCAGATATATCTGATGGCGACTGTATTATATTTTCTTGTATTCAAATAAATCCAGTTAAGAATCCCAAGTATTCTAATAGTATTTCGAGCTACGTTCCTCAGGATCTCCCCTTCGGGAAAACCCTACAGTACCTATTACGGAGTTTTAAAGTACGTACATCGTAAAAGTAGTTTTATTTGAAACAATTTGTTTAAATTATTAAACTTCGACAATTTTAATTGCTCCAATAAAATGGTTAATTATTGTACAATAACGGGGGTACAAGAAACGAAATATTATTTACACCGTCAACTGGATCATCTAAAAATAATGAACACATAATTTTTCTTTTATACTAGTACCCCTAGCACGAACCATTATCGAATTCGAATAGTTTGCGAGTGCGAAATGTCAATGTCAAATGTCTACTGATTTTTAAGCTCTCGTTACGTCCATTGTGGCACTAGGTATAATATATAATGTATATATAAGGGTACTGGATGAAAATAAAGTTTGTCCTCATCCGTATTAGTGAGATAACGTAAACACACTTGTGGACATGAATTTATCCTAAATCATTGTCTGAAATAGCTTGTAAAGTTTTTAAGGTAACTCAAAATTCGGTATGCGACTTTTCCAAATGTATTAAGATTATTTTCATCATCCCTTACTATGAATACTTATTTATAATTTGGACATTACTATAAATGAGCGTATAGACAGATGATCAGCGATATACACGCAGGATTGCCATCAACCAGGATTACCATTGTTATTTTGTTATTTAGTGCGAGCGAGACAGATGTCCGTCATTTGCGTACGTGAGATAGAGACAGAAGCTGAGTGACGCGTCAATTTGTCCTGTACAGTTTTCAGGGAAAAACAAACAACTTGGTGCGCGCTATACACACGGGGTGGATTGTGTTTAAAGTGAAATTTATTATTTTGAATCGAAAGTGTGTGAAGACGTAGAGAGGGGGAGGGGTCCCGACCCACTCTGTTTGAGACAGAGTGCAAACCCGCTACCTTCGTAATGAAAAAAAAACAATATAAATATAATATACCGGATGGTATTGCACGCCTTCGGCTGCGACGCGCGAGAAGAAGAAATGCAGTGTTGAAGTGAAACCTTTATTACATCGCTACACATTTATATCTTTAGCGTGTCGCATTACATTATTAACTGATATTAAAAAAATCAGACCTTAACAATAGGCATCGGTGGCTCAGAGGTAAGAAGCTCGGCTATAATGCGGGCTGCCTGGGTTCGATTTGAAGCCGAGATTGGACTTTTAATTTTATTAATGATTTTTAAAGTCTCACTCGCAACATAGTTTCATAAAACCATACCAACTTTTTTTATTTTATAACAAAAAAGGGTGCATATGAAATGTGCAGTTTTTTCCCGTTATTTCTTCTCGATTAAATTTAAAATAAATAATTTATTAATGAAATTAAATGAATTTTAATTTATTAAATAGTAATTTAATTTTAATTTATTAAATAATAATTTAATTTTAATTTATTAAATAGTTATTTAATTTTATTTATTAAATAGTTCTTTTAATTTAATTAATAATAATTTAATCAGATTTTCATTAAAAAAGTTGAAGAAAAGAGAGGAAGAGGAAGATCAAGTACAGCCTAAACGAGAAGCTGGCGTCAAGTCGTACAGTGAGGCCAAAGAGCTGGTGGAGGACAGAGGGACGTCTAACTATACCAAAGTTGAATATGTTGGAAAAATTATAAAAAAATAAGGTTATATTTTAGCTTGCCAGCTTTGAAAAAAAAAACAAATGACAAACTGCATCTATCACCCAATAATTCGCCCCGTGTGCAACGACAGCGCGACTCGAAGAGTGATCGGCCCCGATTACAGCCGAGCTCGAGATTAGCCCCAATTTTAAATTGTTGATTACTTTCAGGAACCTCTCTCCACACCACACCACCGCCCAACAGAGGCGCCTACACCGAACCGCCCACGACTTGGCGAATCTTCGCAATGACAGGAGCGGTTTTGAATTTTCCGTCTTTTTAAAAGCGTCTCGGTATGAGGTAAGGTGTGCAAAACAAAAGTTATAATAAAGTTTTTATTATTTTTATTTATTAGTATTTCGTGTTGTTATCTACCATGCGATTGTCGCTTTATACGAACCAATATCGAATTCGTAACGTTTGCGAGTCCGAAATATCATTGTCAAATGTGTACTGATTTTTAGTTCTCGTTACGTACTTTATGGCGGTGCTGTTAAAGTTTCCATGACATTGACATTTCGCACTCGCAAACTATTCAGATTCGATAATGGTTCGTGCTTGGAGAACTGGTTTGGAAGGACGAGAAACAGTGTCGCTCACGCAAAACAAGCGCCATATGGACGTCGAGTTGCAAAAACGCCAGTAGAAAGAAGAAAAAAATAACAATGATGCTTTTCATCAGATTTTTCTATTTGTCACCTAATATAATGAACACAAAAAAAGGTTTAAACAATGTCAATGTGTTTTTGATGCCAACACTTCAGGTCCCATTTTTAGGTTTTTCGCATATATCTCGGAAACTATGCATCCTAGCGACATGAGACTTTGACAAAAGTGAAAGCTGATTAAATTTGCTACAAGTCTTATTCAGTCAAGTTTTTTGATTTTTTTTTCCATAATTACAGACTTTCAAGAGCGGATATCTCGAAAACTATACAAGATATCAGGCTTAAGGTCTACGGGCGGGGACTTTTGATATGTTTACCTCCTAACTAGTCCTAACAAAGTTACGAAGTCAAAAATTGTGTTCCAAGCATTTCCCTCTATACCTGTTTTTGAGCATTCGTTGCCTGGACTACAAGTGGAGTGCATCATATGATAACGAATGACATCAAATGAAAACCAAAATATGAAATAAAAACAAAAAACGACGAACGATAATAAAATATTTTGTATAAATCTAAAGAAAAGTTTACTAGAAAAAATTCAACGCGGACCAGGCAGCAGACGGGACTCGAACCCGCACCCTTTGTGCACTGACCATTATACCGCGACCCTGATGGCCGAGTCGAATTTTCTCTAGCCTTAGGCATAATGGTCAGTGCATTCGTCCGGATAGCGAAGGGTGCGGGTTCGAGTCCCGTCTGCTGCCTGGTCCGCGTTGAATTTTTTCTAGTAAACTTTTCTTTAGATTTAAACATCTAGCAATTAAATGTTTAAAAAATAACAACATAACTAAAAATATTTTGTTGCAGACTGTAGGATCCGGCTGAAACATTAAATGAATGTTTTCAATGATGCTCAAATATAGGAAAAGTTTTATTAGTACAGAATTTACATTTTGTTAAAATTGCCCTGTCACAAAGATATTACCGCAATATTTGTCTTTATTTAAGAAAGGAATTGAGGTTTTTAAGATTTGCTCACCATTTGATGGAAGAAATGATTTTAGACGCTCATTGGTAACATTTAAGGCTTAAAGTTTGTTAAAAATTTGTAAGAAGGATGGGTTGGATAGAAAGCTATGATTGCAGGATTACTTTTAGCTTTTTATGGAGATATATGAGTTATTAAAGTTTTTTTTAATAACTATGGTAACTGTCCCAATATCAAGTAGAATTTTAGCTGATTACTCGAAGAAATTAGGTAACTAAATTGAAGAATTCTGAAATGAAATATTAAAATTCATATATTCCAAAAAAGAGAAAGAGAGAAAAAAATTGCCCTTGCTGAGTTTCTTGCCGGTTCTTCTCAGTACAAGGTCTCCCGCCGTAGATTTACGAACCGATGACTTGACTTTCACAAGAGCTTGTAACAGCCTAGACTGAATAAATGAGTTTGAGTTTATGTATGTATATGTGCAATTGGGCACGCTTGAGTGAAGCCTATTTTTCCTTTAAAATGAGCGGTTAGGGTCACGCATCCTAAAAAGAAATAAGTTTTCATTACAAATTCCTTCCTATATTCTATACCCTAGTTTTATTACGTGACCACATAAGAGGGGAGGCGGGCATAGATGACATAGAGGTACAGTATTACTACTTGTATTCTTTTTGTAAAATTTATTTTACATATATCTATTTTTCGAGAGTCAAACTTATAATTTTGCAATTTTTATACGCAATTTTCAGCATTCATAATCATAATCATTTATCCAGTTTAGGCTGTTACAAGCACTTGTGAATGTCTTGAAGCTACGCCATCGGTTCGTAAATCTACGGCGGGAGACCTTGTACTGAGAAGGACCGACAAGAAACTCAGCAAGGGCTGTTTTTTTCTCCATGTTTTATCATTTACAGAGTGGTCAAGTTGAAAAATGACTGTAGAGATGATTCATGAAGTCACCTTTCATTACGTAATGTGAAATTATACATTAATTGTTCACCTGCATTTTGATTGCTGTGTCACATAGTATAAATACAAATTACAAATACATTGCGTGACAGCAATAGTTTTTTCAAATACCTACTTCCCAAATGTCTCTCAGCTCGCGTCCGTTCTTAAGAGAAATGTATTGTTATTTAGGCGTTAACACCGTTTAGTAGGGGGTATAATGGGGTCTCTGGGGTCCACTGACTGTTGTGGCGGTAAATCTTACCCACTGACCACGCTGCTCGTTAATTAAACAGTTGGGAGAAATAACTGTGTACCTACGATGTACATTTATGGTTTCTTAAGTTATATTTTGACGACTTCTGTGGTCGAGTGGTTTGTACGCCGAGTTTCATAGTATCGCCGACTCGAGAGGTCCCGGTTTCGAATCCCGGTGGGGGCATGGATTTGTACTCCAGTCATGGATGTTGAATATGTATTTTCTATATAAATATAGTGTTAAATGTACTGTACTGTAATTAAATGTATGTAATGTAACTGTATATGTATTTTATCAGTTACCCTAGTATCCCATAACATAAGCCTTACAGTGCTCACTTTGGGGCTAGGCTAATTGGTGTGAGAGTTGGAAATATTATTTATTTTATTTTAGTATCAGTTTTGTTATTAATGATGGATACAGAACAAAGAACTTAAGAAGTTCATATCCCGCTCAGATTCTAAATTTTCTTGAACAATCGTGTTTACTCGTAACCATGAATAAACTCCAATCTAGATTAAGCGTACCAGTTGTGCTTATGCGAAATATATAAACACTCTGTAATGAGAGAACATACATCATATGCGTTACATAACAGCATCCTTAAATAATGCTTTATTTTGTGTACTTGATTTTACCCGCCAAGGGCAAGAAAAATTAATAAAATATGTTAATTAAAGTATCTTCAGTTCGCGGCGAGGCAGAACATTACAGAATCTAGAAATGTATGTTTAATCTTTATTAACAGTATTAGAAGATATAGAAAATAAAACAAAGATAACATAAAAACTACCCTTATGTATAAAATTTAAATACAAATTACCACCAAATTACCTTAACCTACAGATAGTGCAATCTACGAAGATGCGCCTCACCAAATTTTGGTTGAAGGATAATAGATAATTAGATAATTAACATATTATTATATTTATGATTTTATTTATTTTTTAAGCATTTAACTGCTAGATGTTTAAATCTAATGGTCAGTGTATTCGCCCGGATAGCGAAGGATGCGGGTTCGAGTCCCGTCCGCTGCCTGGTTCGCGTGGATTTTTTTCTAGTAAACTTTTCTTTAGATTTAAACATCTAGCAGTTAAATGCTTAAAAAATAAATAAAATCATAACTATAGTTGCTATTTCTTCTTTCAAATGTTTAATACTTGAATAAGTATTCATTTGACATTGTGGGTTACCTACAATGCGAAGAGATGGCGCTGCCTTGCAGCTTAAGGCTAGGAAAATTTCGACGCGGCTAATAGGGCCGTGGTAGCATAATGGTCAGTGCATTCGCCCGGATAGCGAAGGATGCGGGTTCGAGTCCCGTCCGCTGCCTGGTCCGCGTGGATTTTTTTTCTAGTAAACTTTTCTTTATATTATTACTAGCTGACTCGGCGAACTTCGTACCGCCCAAAAGTAATAATTTGCAATAAATTAAAATTGCGACTATAATTTGAGATTTAAACTATCCTATCTCTCAAGTTGGATCGAACTGCACATGGTGTGGGAATTTTATTATAATCGGTTCAGTGGTTTAGGAGGCCATTGAGGACAAACATTGTGACACGAGATTTATATATATTAAGATTTATTATTATCATAGATAATTAGTGTGTACCTATAACACTCAAATATTGGCGAAAGCTGGCACACATTTACTATAAACGGTTAGGAGGAAGAGTGGGCCGCGTCTTCGTGGATTGCAATATCTGTACTTATAATTTAATATCTAATTTACAAAATGAAAGATATTTGTATGTTTTATTTTGTTAGTATTTAACCCCCTGCAGTCGATGTATTCGATTGATCCGCAATCACAAAATCAACATTAATGCGAGCGAAGCCAAGGGCAAAAGTTAATAAAGATACTCTTTTAGGGGCGCATTTTACAATTTGGCAATCTGGGTCAACTTACGATTTGCTACCCCTCTACTCCTAGAATTAGTTAATCAAATCAATACAGGTCAGTCACGAATGCCTTTATATGACCATTGCCGCCCCTCGCATCCGGTTCAGCGCCCTCTTGGACCTCGGGTAAATTTTAATAAAATCAAGTAGTTTTATCTAAATATCAAGCTGGTTTTGAACCGAAGTACCTAATAAGACTAAATATAGTGGAGAAAAATACTTCATGACCTGAGAAATGCTAGAAAAAAACATCATGTCCATTAAGGTTTTTTCAAAGAAAGGACATTGGGCAAAAATGTATGGACGCTGCACCCACGCCCGCCACGGCTTAAACTACATTTATTTAAAAGGTATTATAGTCAAGATCATCTGTGCCAAAGCGCATCAAATTCCATCCCGGGAGTCTTTAGTTATTTTAAGTTAAATTTGTACAAGTACTATAACGAACGAACATTAATGAAACAAAGGAATTAATTTAGTTAGTTAGTTCGACCCTACATAGGGTGCTCAGGAATTATGGGAGTACTTCACAAGGTGCAAGGGTGCCCCTTATGTTATTCTGCCGCGCTAGAGGAAATCCAAA